TTGGTTCGTTTTCTTTCTCGGTGTCTGCATCTTCTTCTTCTCGTGTATACTTATATATATATGTGTTATATATATATATATATATATATATAGGCTTTTCGGGTGAATACTTTCAAACGATAGAAAAGAGCTCAAAGGAGGCGAAGTCAAGCCTTCAAGGATACAAGAGTGTTCTAACGTCAAGGAGCATTGAAGAGACTTTGGTATAAACTAGATATGATTCGAATATTTCGAGAAATCTTGACTATAGGTTATAAATTTGTGGTTCTGAATGAATATCGGAAAATATTGTCATCGGTAGGCAAATCTCGCAAGATGGGAACCGGGTCATGGACGTTTTCGGCTACGCCACCCGTGGAAACAGTACCTGAAGATAGGAGCCTTGGTCCGACAATGCGCATTCCATATCGAAATTCTTAATGGCTACGTCCCCTCTGACGTAAAGGTACTTATATATATACATTTTTTTTTTTTTTTTTTTTGATAATGTGATTGTCCCGGTGGGGTTCGAACCTGGGACGTGGAGAAGCACTTTGTGCTCCCACGCCACCAGACCACCACGGCGGGACACTTATATATATACATACAACATGGTTATAAACGAAAGTAAATAATCTTAAGTACAAGATCGAGTTTTTTTTTTTAATGCAAGTCATTTGAATTTATTGACTTCTAATGACCAAAATGACCCTACCTTAACGTCCAAGAAATTTCCTCGAAGCTAAGGCATATATTGTAAATGCATTAAAAAACCGACGGATAATCCCAACCACAAGATTATGTGATACGAATCATCATTCTCATTAACAGCAACATTAATTATAGTTAATTACTTTGGGAGTACTTTGGGAGGCAGGCACCGCAAGAATTCCAGAGCAGGATTCAAGAACCATGCACGGCTCTAACCAGAGAAATCGGGGAGGCGCTAAGGGTATTGTCCGAATCCGTCAAAACCATGAGAAAACTCGACGATCCGGCGAAAACCCACATCGAGAATTCGAAAGAATCCGTGAGAAAACTGAGATCCGCACTGAAATCGACTTCTTCTCCCCCGGACTCGGCGAGAGAGCTCCTCGAGATCATCCCGGGCGCCACGGTGGTATCCATCCTGACGGATGTGGTGAAATGCATCGAGAGCATCTCGGCCGCGGTGGAGGAACTCGCCGTACAAGCGCACTTCACGGCCGGGGTGGAACCCACGGTGTCGCCGGAGAAGTTAGGACAGCATCATTTGCTCCACCGTGGAACCGTGAAGCCCGTACTTGACGGTGACGGTGACGGACAGAATACTGATCATGTCGTTATCATTGTCGATGATGTGGCGGCAGCGACGGCCGACGGAGACTCGCCGGAGAAAAAGGCTCCGGAATCGAAGACGGGGCGAGTAGATATAGTGTAAATATGTCTCTCTCTTTTTTTTGCTTTGTTGTTAGGTTACTTGGGTAACAAGTTTTCCGATGGATTTCTTTCTTAGCAAGAAACGAAAATGAAAGTTCTTGAAAAATTGGAGGGTCTCTTCTTCTTCTTGGTTCACTTTCTTTCTGTTGATCATGGTCGATGATGTGGCGGCAGCGACGGCCGACGGAGACTCGCCGGAGAAAAAGGCTCCGGAATCGAAGACGGGGCGAGTAGATATAGTGTAAATATGTCTCTCTCTTTTTTTTGCTTTGTTGTTAGGTTACTTGGGTAACAAGTTTTCCGATGGATTTCTTTCTTAGCAAGAAACGAAAATGAAAGTTCTTGAAAAATTGGAGGGTCTCTTCTTCTTCTTGGTTCACTTTCTTTCTGTTGATAAAATGTAAATGGTGACAGGAAAATCTCATGAAAACATATCCACAGAGATTATAATTAAATATATAAAATATAAAAGCATAGACTATATTCATACAAAATAAAACCCTAAAAGATTTAATGGATCACAGGAGATGATGAGAAGAGAATTTCCTTTGCGTAACCAAACATGGTAACAGGAAAGTCACTGCCAAGATTGTGAGCTGTTTCCCACTTCCAAGTTTATAACAAGTTGGAGATTTTAAATCTAAGAAAAATGTACATATATATATATATATACACACTTATCTATAATATATATATATATATATATATATATATATTTATTGGCATCCATCCATGGAACTCAGAAAAAGGACATGAATATTCCAAGGGGCTGTATATTAAAAGTGACCTTTAATTTTCCTCGCATGACTTTTATTGGTCGATTTTGGGGGTTTCCTTAACAATGGCCATATGACTTCTGTTATAAATTTATCAAATATGAGTTTTAAATATGAAAATTCTCCAATATGAGATATTTATTATTCTTAGGAGCTTTTTCTTCCATGTTTATACAAAAAAGAGTTTTTGTTTAAAAAAATTATTTACAAGAAAAATTAAAACAATATAACATACCATTGAACTAAAAAAATCATTTCTTTCTATTCACAAGACTTTGAAAATAATAATAAAAAATTTATACTTTTTACAGAAAAAGTATTTATGAATTATATATATATATATATATATATATATGCATTGTAGATATTGAAATCCAAAGAACGAACATGAAAACTTGGAACAATTTGCCCTTCGGGGCCAGGTCAGGTGGTAAGGGAGCAGGGTGAGCAACTCTGAGGTGGAGGGATCGAATCACAACATCGTTCTTCCTTACCCTTGACCTGCTCGCCTGCCAGCCTGTCATAACGGGCTGATTTACATCCCACGCTTGTGTCGCAGGCTCGTGAGTCGTGGGCTTGGGGTTTGACCCGCAGGCGCCTAAGCCCAAGCGTGAGGCGCGCCTGGTGGCCAGGTCCGGCGGACTGAGGTCCATGGGGACTGTTAGGCGCGGGTGGTGGCCAGTCGTCTCCGTTTGTAAGGGTAGGTAATCACGGGGTTCCCCAATGTTATCAAAAAAGAAAACTTGGAACAATTTCTCATTTTTTTTTTCATTCAATTAAATGGGAAAAGTATTTACAGAACTTTTATATAAATTTCTACTATACCAAATTATACTAAATCGGATCAGATCAATATGGTATTCAAATATATATATATATATATATATATATATATATATATATATATCATACGAACGTTTTTTTTTTCATTTTATAAGTATTGTGCATTTTGACTTTATGTGAAAAAGGTCATCTTGGGATGCCAAGAAGATCAACATAGGATCTCTTGCAATATATAATTAGAGTAACAAAAGGTTCAATTTTTAGTGCGAGGCTCTGAAAATATACAGAGGAGTGGAATCATACAGAATATGCCCCCACTCAAGCACGTGATGTATTATAGCAGACCATTTTTGTAAATGAAAACTGGGCTCTTTCTATTGTTATTAATTAAATTAAATTAAATTAAACCAAAAGGAAAAAAAGCATTAATATTAAATCTTGATGTACTGTTAAGGCTGAAACATTCTTAAGCATGAAGTATAATAAAATCTAAATATAAAGGAGGAGAAAAAAACACAATTAATCTCATATTATAATAATATCGGATTAGTTTAGATACTTAAATTTAATTGGAAAAGACTGATGTGCATATACATTTGTGCCTGTAAAAGCATTGCCTTTTAAGGCTTTTTACTGAAATTTTTAAAAAAAATATGTCAAATTAAGGGATCAATATTGAAGATGACGCAGGTGCAGGTAAAATAGCATATTAAATGTTTCAAACTATATTTTAATATGTATATATATGGTTGATTGATGATTGTACAATGATATAGGAGATTTATTCACTCCACTGATTAATTATTTAAAAATGCGTCATTTTTTAAAATGATTTTTTCACCCATCTCAAAATTAGTAGTAGTATTATTATTATTGGAAAATTTTCATTTGTTTGAGGTTGAAAAACCATTTATGGAAATCTCATAATTTAATTTTGTATATTTTGTACGAAGAAGAGCAGTTTTGTACAAAGTAACAAAAGGAGAAAGAAGATATATGTATATATAATAAGATTTAATTAAAAAAAAATAGAATTGTATAAAATAAAATAAAAATGGTATAAAAACGATGATTGATCTAAATGTGTAAGACTTAAATGTATCGGTTTAGGATTTAACGCCATTTAAGATATTTCGTGGTATATAAAAAAAAAACATGGTGTAAACTTGTTATTCATATCGATAAATTATATATTGAAAATGTGTAAAAAAAAATCGTTTGTAGTATTTATTATTTTATACAATGGTAAGTCTGCCCCTATCTAAGCTTAACTAGAGTCTCTTTAATGTATACTTGTTTGTGATAAATTAAAATTAGCATTTGTGTGGCCCAAGGTGATGGAATTAATGACGATTAGCCTAATTAGTAACCCATTATGAATACTAATAAAATGTCAACTCTTTAATATATGTACCGATGCATGATCATCATGCGCAATTAATTAAGGCCTGGAAAACTCTTTAAGTTTTTTTTTTTTTTGTTTATATGATGATGATGATGATGATGAATTGATGATGAATTGATGATGAATTGATGATGATGATGATGATGAGAGATTTGACTAAAACGCATAACGAAAAGCCATTTTGATCAAAGTAAATTGTGGGTCACATGGGAGGGGCTCAGTGACTTTGAACATCGCCCTGGTTTTATTCAGTTCGTGAGTGCTCTTCCATGGAGCCGTTTTGGGTTACACGTGACCCGCACGTAACCCTTATTAAAGGATTTTGACCACACACACTCCTGTACCCGGATCCCTTCAATAAATTCTTACGTGGTGATGAGTGATGATATCAACCATATAATATTAACATGGGTCCTCATATTTCGCCAATAGCAACCTTCGTGCACTTGTTTAATAATTCGAAAAATTCACTTTTTTTTTTTTTATGTAGAACCATCACAAATTCATATATTTTTCTATTAATTTAGTAATAATTAATGTATTTTCACAATTTATTTTCGAATCTATGAAATGGATATTGACGACAACACAACTTGGGGTGAAAATAGTTGTGGCTTAAACATTCATGCAAAACTTAATGCACACAAACCCAAAAAGAAAAATAATTAACGTAAAAACTGTCGTTACAATCATATTACACTACAAAAATACTTGTGGCATGGCACCTATCTATGTATATATATATATATATCCATCATACCCTATTTCACAAACACACTAATCGTATTCGACCGCGTGACTAATTAATTAATAACATTATTAGTAGTGGCATCACGACCAATCTTAAACTATAACAAAGACAACAGCTCCCAAAATAATTTAAAAGAAAAAAAAAACAAGACAAAGATACTTACAGTTGTTATCACCAGCCATAGATAGGGCTCTGAACCTGAGGAGGCAAAAGATTCAGGTCTTTGCAATGTTGCTTGTCGTAGTCTCTCGTCTTCGGTATTGCTCCCGTGCATAGCCTTAGAAACTCGTTGCCGGTCAGACAGTAATGCGCGAATGCTAACCCACCATCGACCATTTGGTTTAGGCTCGGCATCGATACCGATTTCCTCATGACCTTGCCTGCGTCTGCGTTTGAATCGCTTGTTTCCGCGTTTAGGATCTTCTCCAGGTCGGAATATTCCATGAATCTCTGTGTCGCCGCTTCCCACGAGAGGTGGTACCGTTGCTCGGGAGTGAGAGGTTGAGGATCGTTGGTGAGAGCTTCTTTCACTTTGGCCACGAAATCTTCGGATGATTTGTAGGTTAGGCAGTTCGGGAACAGCCTGAAGAACTCGTTCGATGGGTGATCCGCACAAACGACGAATTTTCCCATGGCGAGCGCCTCTGCGGTTGCCGTGCAGAGAACGTCGCTCACGCTCGGGTTTATGAAGACTTTGTACCTGCAATACGAAAACAAAAACGTGGATAAAACCGATAGAGAATTCTGAACCATAAACCATAAACCCTAAAATGCAGATTCAGAGAAAGAGGGTATCATCATCCTACCCGTGAAGGGAATCATCTGCATGATCTCTTCCTCTGAGAAAGTTGAGATTGAGATCAAGCTTCTTTGCAGCGCTCTGGACCTCGAGTGCATCTTCCCCATTTCCGTAGACATCCAGATTGAAGCCGTCGAGATCACTCTTGTGTTTAGCCAGCAGATCGATCAATTCCCTGTATCCTTTAGCCCACACCATTTTCCCTAAGAAATAAGCACCTTTCGAGAAAGCTTGTTGACCACTCTCCCTCTCCGCTGCGATTTTCTCCCCGATTTTAAGGAACTTCGGGTTCACACCATGAACATTGCATATCACAGACTTGGGCAAATCTTGGGTAGCAGCTGATAGACGAAGAATCTGACACGAACGCAGAAACCCGATTAGTTCATTGTTCAAGTTACGTTCACCAGGGTTAAGCTTAAGTGACGGGGGGAAGAAAAAAAGTGAAGATCAAGAGGATTCAAAGTTAAAATTTTGAAAGAAGATTGTTGGAGATTAGATATTCACCTTGTCACAGTATGCTCGGGCGACCCAATTGTTTATATGTTTCACGAAAAACGCTTGAAGGGCCCCGTTCTTCTCCCTCTTGATGTACTCTAAATAGTTCGTGTGCACAATCCCGACTACATGGTTGAATTTATCGGTCCACCGCTTGCCATGATGATACCAGTTTAGATGTTCAGGTTCTTCCAGTATAGCAATGTCGGCATCTTTTGAGGGTATAAACTGAGACGTATCCCCGGCAGGTATTATGCTGCGTCTTTCTTTTGAAAACTACAAAAGAAAAAGAAGTAAAAGTTTTTTGTCATCTCAAGAATCAGAGAAAACATGTTTCCAACGAAAGAAAAAGAGGAAAAACATGAGTCGGAGTTATCAACTACCTTTCCTGGATAGAAGGAGATTTTAAAATCAGCCTTGAAACCAATCCTGTCTTCGAGCCATTTACGTATATAACTCTCCTGTTCCTCCGGTGAACTGAACGTGAGATTGTTGGGATAAACTAGCTCCTGGTCAGATTTGCAAAGCCAAGGGACCAAGAGTGTGACATTCTGTTGCGCAGATTTTGCCAAGTATGCTGCTCGGAACAGTGGATTTACAGCTGTTCCTGTCATCCAAGGAAGACTAGCTGTTGTGACTATGGCAACCTGCCTTTTACGGTCCGAGGTTTCAGGCTTTGCAAAATCAGTCCAAAAGCCACCGTCATAATGGTGTCCTGTACTTTGAAGGACACTGGCTATCCTCAAGTCCAAGTCATCGCATGGGTTACTATCACTCTCGACTAAATCTGATGCTTGGGCAGAAGGTGGTTGCCAAAACAGCTGGTTCTTGCATTTATATAGGCTTTCTACTATCCGGTTGCATATATCTGAGTGTGTCAAAGATGAACCAAACATCAGGGACATAGTTCATCAACCATTGAAATGATCAAATATCTAAAAGCAAATTTCTTTTTTCTCTTGCAGATATTTCTGCAAGGTAAGGTTTGCCTACAATACATCCTTGTGGTGGGATCCTTCCCCGGACCCCCGTTCAACGGGGACTCAACGGGGACGCTTTGTGCACCGGGCTGCCCACAATGAAGCTGATACTATTTGCTTGATCTGTTCTAACATAAATTTCCTAAAGAAAGCAATAACTCGATGTCCACAACACATGGAAGTAAGTCTTGAGTATCAATAATAGTTTCCTAGGCTGACAGTGAAGGAAGCTAACCACTAAACAAAAGATCCTCAAAATATCAAAAGTAGATTCATCCTTCAGCTTGGCAGATAGAGAAAGTCCCACAAAGAATCGTTTAACTAAGCATGACATTTGTAAAGAGTGTAACAATCAGAAATCACTTACCCTTTCTTACGCCAAGCTGATCCAAAAAGGGTTCAGACTGCCTAACCAAACATGCCAAAAGTTCTGGTACATCCAGTGGGGGCACATCCTGCATCATAAGTTACACAAAACGATGTCTCAATACTCATACATAATGCGAATATAACGCCTCCAGCCGGCCCCTAGGTGGCAATTCTGCTACATGAAAAGAACCAAGCCTTTTCCAAGCGAAACAGAACATAAAAACATCCATCTGCTAACCAAAAGCAATTGTTGGCTAGGACATTGGAGGAAACGATAAGATGTTCCCCGAAACTGGAGATTTAATATTTTTAAGAGCTCATACAGTAAGACAACAACCCCTGGTTATAAACTCTCCACATTGAAAGGGAAACAACTGAAGAATGCAGGAACCATCAAAACCAAATCAAACTCCTTTCTGCCGTAGTATTATGTTCTAACTTGTCAAAATCAATAGGGTGACAAGAAAAACCAAGGACTTGACATGTTAAGATAAAAGGACATCTGCAAAATGAAAAATATAAAACATGGGAACTGAACTGATGGTGGAGATTCGAATAATGCACATAAATACATTTTGCAAAATGTAGAATCTTTAACAATCCAGACTCCAGTCAAACAGCCAATGAAACTTATAGTAACAAAAGCTAACCTTTGCCTCTTCAGGCTCTTTGTAGATTGATTTCTGCAAAAAAGGAACCAAAAAGAAAACACCATACTCAGAATTGCCTTGATCAAATGACATAAGCAGATAAAGACCCCTGAACAAGATATCGGCTTATTGGAGACAGATTTCACTTGAATTACAACTAAAACTAGGAATTCGTTCAAGTAATGTTAGCCTCCAGAAGTTACCATGGAAACAAACAATTCATAGAGATCAACCATACTCAACCAAAGGAGATATCCAGGATATTTACCCTATCAAATAAGCGGTAACATCAATATCTTACATAGTTGTAAGAAAATTGACAGTAAGACACCTGAACAAGATTCGTCTAAAAGGGAAAAAAAAGTTTGAAACTGAAGAGGTTTCCTGCAGATTAAGAACAGAAAGTACATACCAAGCTGATTTTGAGCTTCTCCACAAATTCGCTGTTCTTAAACCCACTCAAAATTTCTGAAGAGCTTCGCTTCTCGAACTCTTTTAATCTCGTCTTCAAAACCCTAATCGGTTCCCAATCTCCGAAATTCCCTTCCCCTTCCCTCTCAGCTTCATCTCTCTCTGCCCAAAACTCCCTAAACCTAACCCTCGTATCCCTTCTCCGTCGTCTCCTCATGCCACCAAATTCCAGAACCCCCTCACGCTCATCCAGATCCATCTCAGCCACAATCGCATTCTTAATCGCCGATAAATCGATCCCCAACTTCGCCCTTGCCGGTGCCCACCTCTCCATCACTTTTCGGCTGATTCCCGGCGCCGAATACACCCTCCTGAACTCCGATATCTTCGGCTGAAGCTTCTTCATGATACCGATCTCACCGGAGAACGACGACGCTGATGGCGTCCCAGCGGAGAACGCAGACCTCGCCGAATTGTTCAGGAAATTCTCGATCTCCCGGTCGAACGTCGACGCGAGGTTCCTCACCGAGTTGGCACGATCCCTCATCAGCTGCAAGTCCGCGTCCGCCGAGTCCCAGACCTCTCTCCACCCCTTCGATAGGAACGAGAACGCGTTAGTCGACGACAACGACAGCGACGAAGACGCCGACGCCGTGGAGGCCGTACCGGTTACCGCCGTCGCCATCGCCGGAGAAGACGACGGATGCTGTGTCTCCTTCGCCATAATCTAGGGTTTTGTCTCCCACGATCTAGCGGGGGAGATATAGCCAAAATGCTGTGGAGAAGAAGAAGAGGAGAAATTGGTAAGGAATTAACGGTTGCGATTTTTCGGTAGTTTTTTTTTTTCTGGAATTTTTTATTTTCTTCTTTATAATTCTGGAAGGAGAGATAACACGTGGACTAACAAGTCATACGAAGGTGGGTTTGACTGGAGGGGATTCGCAATTGGTCACACGTTTGATGACGTGGCACGTTTTCATTGGCGGCATGGATTATGTTATTCTGGAGGAATATTCTGGATCCGGTTCGGAAGGGACAAACTACAACGCAATTACTTAATTAGGTCTTGAATCTTGTAACCAATGATTCTGTAACCTTTCACCAAAAAAAAAAAAATTGTTTACTTATGAACTAATCGATTAAATTATCGGTCCAACCTACCTATTTAGATGTTTCAACCATTATTTATTGGTAAGAACAATATGCAATACATATAAACATCAGGATATAAAAATCTAATCTTAAAATAATTTTAATACCATCCAATCGTTATTCAAGATAAAATTTGATAAATATATCTTTAGATTTTTAAACTCTTCTGCACAAATTGTTCTTAATTAGTATTATTTAGCTAAACACACGCATGTTCAGTAACAATATTGGATACGGTGAACGAGAAGACTTTATTAATTACTAATTTACTACCTAATTTAATGAAGGTAGGCCAACTCCTCTAAATGTCAATGGGGCTTTTTAAAATCATATTCCAAGAGAACGTAATAATAAATGTGAAAATTGTATGAGATATTTAATAAACCAATTTTTTTAATATCTAAAAAAATGTATGTTCGGACACTGACCGATAATATAATACCTTATCGTATTTAAATTCGCATGTGGAAATGGTGTGATGGGTTCTGCCATAATAAAATATTTTACAATATCAGAATTATATATGAAAGTGTAATACATCACTTTTATCCCGTGATTTGGTCTGACGATATTTATTTAAGTTATAAGATTAGTATTCACGAAAAACTCGTTGTCTTTTGGACGAACCTTCGTTTAGAAAGCAATGCTATGAAGAAAAAAAACTGATGGTTGTTAAGTTCAGCTTTATCCGATTTGATTTCGAATTATTTACATTTTGAAACGATTTTATATACAAACACGTTACTCAACTTACAAATTATGATACATGATTGTTATATTTTAAAATTTAAAACTATGGTTATTGATTGATATTTTGATTTAGATGTATAGAACAAAATCGAATCACAATTAATCGTATATTATGGTTTTTAAGTCATAGATTTTTCCATATCGGATGTGATTTTTTAGAACAAAAGTAATCGGAATGTAAAATAAATAGAATAATGAGTAAAAAATGAACGAAATCTAAATATATTATTTTTTAATTAATACAAAATTCTAATGAAATTAAGATTTAATATAATAATTAAACCGTGTATAGATTTCTAAGAACTATAAAAAATTAAACCCGAAAATATCTACCGGAATCCGAAAATACAAAATTCTCATATAAGCTTTTGAGCCCATTACAAAAGGCCCGTTTTAAATTTCAGACCAATTATTCAAACAACGGTGGGACGCCACGTGGAAGCATCTGTCCACCGTTTCCATCTTTCCTTAGCGACTAAGGATTGTTGATAAAAACAAACGTCACTTCTGCTTTTTTCGAATGCTTTGCGTGAAATCATAAAACCCAACAAGAAACGAGAGAGAGAGGGGGCAAAAACTGCAACTTTATCTCTATCACCGGCGAAAGATCAGAAGACGACGACGGTGAGAGAGAGAGAGAGATGGGTCTGCTCTCCAACAGGTTCTTCTCATCTATTTATCTTCTGTAATTCTTCTGGTTGCTAATGGGGTTCTTTCTATTTCATCTTTTGTGTTGAAATCGATCTTCTTCTTCTTCTTTTGGGGGGCGAAGGATCGATAAGGCGAGTCTGAAACCTGGGGATCACATCTACTCGTGGAGGACTGCTTACATCTATGCCCATCACGGTCTCTCCTCTTCCTCGATCTGATTCTTCTGATCCCCCTTTTCCGTCTCTAATTTTCGAAATTTCTTATACCCATTTGCTATATCTAGTCATAAACGGCGCCATAGCCCGCAATTTGAGTGTTCGTGATTGGATTAGGTTTGTAAACGGTGTCACCAGAAGCGAAGGGTTTCTGGAAATTTTGGCTAATTATTTAGGGTTTACTTTAGGAACGAGATCGCTTCTGCATTGGGCAGCCAAAAAAAAAAAGGCTGTAACTTTAGTGATGCTGATTTTCATGAGTTCTAGTGAATATCGATCCTTCTTTGTGATAGCAATCTTCCGACATGATTATCCTAGACGGGCTTTTGGGTGAGGATAATTGGGCATATGGGTATTGGTTAGCAGCCATGTGTTCTTCATTACAATGCTTGACAAAACCTAATCGAGTTATGTTATGTCCGACCAGAACCTTCTCCTCTTCTCTTCTTTATTACTGGATTGTTACCTGATTCTCTTGCTCAACTGTTAAAGCCATTGATGGTGAGTTTCCTTCAAACGTTCGTTAACAGGCATCTACGTTGGAGACAACACGGTCATTCATTTCACCAGACGTGGCCAAGAAGTCGGCACGGGAACAGTGCTCGATCTCCTGCTGGTAAGCTCGGGTCCTGCTCGAAACCGAGCACACTGCCTAACATGCACCCCGCCAAACGAGGGCCACGGGGTCGTCTCCTCGTGCCTCGACTGCTTCCTGGCCGGCGGTATCTTGTATCGTTTCGAGTACTCTGTCACCCCGGCTCTCTTCCTCGCCAAGGCCCGAGGGGGAACCTGCACTCTCGCCGTCTCAGACCCGGATGACATAGTCGTCCACCGAGCCAAATACCTCCTCGAAAACGGGTTCGGGTGCTACAACGTTTTCAAGAACAACTGCGAGGATTTCGCCATTTACTGCAAGACGGGTCTGGTCGTTCTGGAACAAGGTACGATGGGTCAGAGCGGTCAGGCCGTGTCGATAATCGGCGGGCCGTTAGCTGCGGTGCTATCCACGCCGATGCGGCTGGTGACGACGAACGTTTACGGGATGGCGGCCACGGCTGTCGGGGTGTATTGCGTGAGCAGATACGCAGCAGATATCGGGATGAGAAGAGATGTGGCGAAGATCGAAGTGGAAGATCTTACGGGAAGGCTTTCGAGAGGGCTGCTTCAAGTGATCGAGCCTCCTCAGATGACAGAAATCCCGAGTAGATAATGTAAGTCCCACTTAAAGCTTGTCCCTGTCTTCTGTCTTCTGGTGTCTTTATCTTCATATGTATACGTCACTTGTACGGAGGCTGTTTCATGGCTTTGGAATTTTACTCATAATGTAAGTCCAAGCCCATCACAATTTGGGTATTTGCAAGAATAATGGACCTACAATACACGGCATATGTACATATGATATTATGAATATCTCTCATACAATATATACGTGAATTCAGACATATGCAATATCTATCTATAGGTTAAATATTAGTGAAGTAAAACGGGCCAAAAAATTCATGATTTGTAAGTCGGTTTACGAGTCAAATAAAAATAAAAATTAACATTAAAAATATTAATATAATTAAAAAATATTTAAAATTGATAAAATATGGAAACATCCTATTATATAGGTATATAAATTTTACTAAACGAAAATATACATTCAAATAAAATGTATCCAGAAGTGGGATTTACGGGTGAGGAGAAGCAAAATTATCACATCATTGTCCTCATGAGTAACTCATTTCGTTCGATGCCTTTAGGAATCGAGCATTTTTTATTATACAAATTCCCATGGTTCATGGACCGACATAATCGCATAACCATAAAGAGAAATATATATATATATATATATAGATAAATGACAAAAAGGTTGATGTTCTATGAATTGATATCTGAACCGACATTATTTCCGCCAATGCTCAGTCTACTAATTGCATTGTTAAAAGCATTTTTTCAATTTTGAAATCAGATTATAATATCCAATGAAATATCTTAATTTTGAATGTCCAATCAAAATTGGTTATAAACGCATGTACGCAAAAAAAAAAAAAAGAGTAAATAATTATGAACATTTATTTTAAAAATATGATACTGTAATTAGTAGAAATTAATGGTGATGATGATGTGAGGGAGGAGGTGTGGCCTTTTTGACCATGTGGACAAAGTGCCACATGTCTCTGCCTCTCACTTGCAGACAAAAGGAATAGCACGAGATCATGGACCCACATCTCCTCATATACACACACATATATATATACGTGTATATACATATTATATGTGTGTCATATACACATGTACATGTATGATCCATACATGTGAAGGCAATGTGTGTTATGGATGACATGCATGCATCAAAATCCTCTACATTAACTATTATAAAAAGGCGAACGGCAAATGGAAGCTATAATTAGTTTGATCGACGGTCCACGGATTATAACTAGTCATATACAATTTTTTTTTTTAAGTATACGCAATCACTCTTTGTAAATATACATTCTAATCGTCCTTTATATTAAGATATTGGACTGCGAATATATTATAATATATAAAATAATTACAGCAAATATATTGAAATTTAATTCGATTTAAATATTAATTAGGTATATTTTATAAAATTAAAATAATAAATGGATAATAAATTTTTATTGGAAAATGACTATTTTTTTAATAATAATCGGATCAGAATATCAGTGTAATTTAATTCGATTTAAAATCGAATGATCGAATTGGATATAACGAAATGCATATATTTCTAACACGTTAGGAGTGGAGACAAAATAATAAAAAGCAACACGCTTGGTGCCGACAATTTCGGCAATAAGATATTACGCCTCGGGCACGGACTACTATGCGAATAATTTATATATTTCTAATAAATCGATAAAGTTGCAAACTTTCCGTTTAGTCAAACTGCGTTTATGAATTGAGAAATTTAAGCTTTTTAAGGGCCCTAAGATCATCAATGCAATTCCAACTAATTTCGGGGGTGAAATGTGAAGAAATAAAAAGTTCGAGGGCATTTTATAAATATTTTTAGTAGGTACGATGTATCCGTCAGTATGCATATTTAGTAAACAAAAGGGACCTCAATTGCATATCTAGTTACCATGTGACTTGTTTTTTTTTTTAATTCATATCAAGAACAGAATTATGGTTTCTAATGCTAATAATATGTTAGAATAACAATAATGGTAATTATTTCACGTATTGATTATAATAAGAAACAAAAAAAAAATACGTATTTCTATTCAACTCCAAATACATGAATTCATTGTACAATTTCAGTTTGTGGACATATGGTGCAATTACGATTAGTTATTTTTACGCATGCATATTATATATATAATTTGAATTTTATAAGATTCAATGAATATGTAGTTCGATATCAACTCGGACGTTCTAACAAAATTTATGTGAAACAAGGATGCAAAACGGTCCAAACAAAATGTTACCACAAAAATTTGATTAAATTTAATTAATGGGAAGAATAAAAATATTACCAAGCTTGCACCAATGGTCCGTCTCTATCCAAACATCATATAGATTCATAAGACGGCGAATGCTACAAACTTCGGTGGACCGTTTACGGGTAACGATCATTATATCACAAGCACACACTGAGGAAATTAGAATGACCGTAATACCCTTTGCATATGATCCATAATTGATGAGATCATGAAATGTACGAGAGAGAGAGAGAGAGAGAGAGAGAGAGAGCAGAGAGAATCATAAAGGCGCAAGCTTTATGGTGCAGTGAAGCAAAGAAACAACCTTTAGCGTCTCTCTGTATCTTACACTGTTCATGGATTAAGATTTTCTTGCGAGATTTTATCTATTAAGCACAAATCCTCCTCTTAAGGTAAAAGAAAAATCAATATTTTCTTTGTCTTGTATCTTTCTTTCCTTATCTGTTTGAGTCTATGCTTTTCTTTTTTTTCTTTTGTGTACTAATATGCTACTCGAATCTTCTGGACAGGTTTGTCTGAAGATTTCCTCATCTGGGTTTGGCTAAATCTTGCTTCTTTTTGCCGTTTCATGCTAGATTCGAGGTGGGGTTCTTGCTTGTGGCGCCATTAATGGTGTGATGTGAGTTTCTTGCATGTGTCGGTGAACATCCGCCATGAAAACTCATCTGAAGACGAAGCTTTTTGTTCTGCCACTTGTTTGTTGTATTGCCTCTGTGGTTTTTTCTGCCACGGATCCTAATGACCTTGACATTCTCAACGAGTTTCGGAAGGGATTACAGAATCCAGAGCTTCTACAGTGGCCTGAAAATGGCGATGATCCTTGCGGACCACCTAGCTGGAAACACGTGTTCTGCGAAAACACCAGAGTTACTCAGATTCAGGTTCAGGGTCTGGGTCTGAAGGGCCCTTTACCCCAGAATCTGAACAAGCTCACTGAGCTCATCAATGTGGGTCTTCAAAGGAATCAATTTTCAGGGAAATTACCATCTTTTAGGGGCTTAGGCAAATTGCAGTTTGCTTATCTTGATTACAATGCTTTTGATTCGATCCCTGGAGATTTCTTTGATGGGCTTTCAAGTCTTCAAGCTCTGGCATTGGATCACAACAACTTCAATGCGACCACCGGTTGGATGTTCCCTGAATCATTGCAGGGCTCTTCACAGCTTTCTAATCTTTCTTGTACAAGTTGCAATCTTGCCGGTTCATTGCCTGGTTTTCTCGGAAACATGTCGTCTTTGACGAATCTGAGGCTATCTGAAAACAGCTTGTCTGGTGAGATTCCACCGAGCTTTGGACAGTTACAGCTAAGGACATTGTCTCTGAACAATCAGCATGGCAGTGGCTTAACAGGTCGTATCGATGTCTTGGCATCGATTAGTTCTCTTGAAGTTCTTTGGCTGCATGGAAATCAATTCACTGGTCCAATCCCTGAGAGTATAGGTAATTTGACTCTTTTGAAAGATCTTGATCTCAATGGTAATAAACTTGTTGGCTTGATCCCACAGAGCTTGGCTGATCTGTTATTGGATCGTCTGGTTTTGAACAATAACCTTCTCATGGGTCCAATTCCTGAGTTTAAAGCCACCAATGTGACTTATGCCGAGAATGCATTCTGTCAAACCAAAGAAGGGATTGCTTGTGCTCCAGAGGTAATGGCCCTTATTGAGTTCCTTCATGAGTTGAATTACCCTCCAAGGCTTGTCTCTGAATGGGTTGGTAATGATCCATGTGGAGGATCTTGGCTTGGCTTGAGATGTAATGCCGATGGAAAGATCGAGATCATGAACTTGCCTAGGCTTAATCTTACCGGTACATTGAGTCCTTCCGTTGCAAAATTAGGTTCAGTTTCTCAGATTAGACTTCAGTCTAACCGTATAAACGGTCCAATTCCTGAAAATTGGACAAGCCTGAAGTCCCTCAAGACTTTGGATCTTAGCAGCAACAACATATCTCCACCCTTACCAAAGTTTAGCAAGACTGTAGATTTTGTCATAGACGGGAACCCTTTACTGTCCAAACATAAGTCTCCTACATCTCCCTCACCCGTGGAAAACCCGCCTTCTAGTAGTTCAGAAGAATCTCCGATGGATCATACTCGTTCTTCACCAGCCAAAGGCCCTTCCTTTTCTCCTCATCATAATCCTACCGGTAATGTAAACCGAGCAAAAGGTGCTAAAAATCCTATCTTTCTCGTCGTTGTTGCTCTTTTAGCGAGTGTTGCTGTCATTGCTCTAGTTGTTGTTCCTCTGTCCATTTATTGTTGTGCAAAGAGGAGAAGAACGCATGACGTAGCTCCAAATTCCTTGGTGATTCACCCGAGAGACCCATCTGATTCAGAAAACATGGTTAAGATTGCTGTTCTGAACAACGTTAATGGAAGCGCTTCCACGGGAAGCGGTTCTGCAAGCAGGAACAGTTACAGCTTGGCTGATACTCATGTCATCGAGTCTGGAAATCTAGTTATATCAGTGCAAATCCTCAGAAATGTGACAAAGGGTTTTGCTCCGGAGAATGAGCTTGGCCGAGGTGGATTTGGCATTGTATATAAAGGAGAGTTAGAGGACGGGACCAAAATAGCTGTAAAGAGAATGCAGGCCGGTGTTATTAGCACCAAAGCCTTGGATGAGTTTCATGCCGAAATAGCGGTTCTCTCCAAAGTTCGCCACCGTCATTTGGTATCTTTACTCGGTTATTCCATTGAAGGGAATGAGAGAATGTTGGTTTACGAGTACATGCCACATGGAGCTCTTAGCAAGCATTTGTTTCACTGGAAGAGTTTGAAATTGGAACCTCTCTCGTGGAAGAGAAGGCTAAATATCGCATTGGATGTAGCGAGGGGAATGGAGTATCTCCATAGCTTAGCTCATCAGAGCTTCATACATAGAGACCTCAAACCTTCGAATATCTTACTCGGTGATGATTTCAGAGCCAAGATTTCAGATTTTGGGTTGGTAAAACTCGCTCCCGATATGGAGAAATCTATCGTGACCAGACTTGCCGGGACCTTTGGATACTTAGCTCCAGAATATGCCGGTAAACCGTACTGTTTTCTTGATCTTTGATTTCTTCTTTCTTTGTCATCAAGCATTTTACTTGAGATTTGGACATAAATCAACAATTTTAGTAATCTTTCTACTGAAATTATCTGGTCAATGCAGTTATGGGGAAAATCACCACGAAAGTAGACGTCTTTAGCTTCGGGGTTGTGTTAATGGAACTCCTCACTGGATTAATGGCTCTGGACGAGGAAAGACCCGAGGAGAGCCAGTACTTGGCTTCATGGTTTTGGCACATGAAGTCAGACAAAGAGAAGCTTAGAGCCGGCATTGATCCTGCCCTTGATGTAAAAGACGAGACTTTCGAAAGTATATGCCTCGTTGCAGAACTTGCAGGCCACTGTACAGCCCGAGAGCCAAATCAACGCCCCGACATGAGCCACGCAGTGAGCGTTCTGTCTCCGCTCGTCGAGAACTGGAAGCCTCGGGACAATGAGGCCGAGGAATACTCGGGAATAGATTACAGTCTCCCACTTAACCAGATGGTGAAGGGATGGCAAGAAGCTGAAGGAAAGGACATCAGTTACATGGATCTGGATGATAGTAAGGGAAGTATCCCGTCGAGGCCAACGGGTTTCGCCGATTCTTTCACCTCAGCGGACGGGCGGTGACAGAAAAGGTAAATACTCTCGGATATGATGGCGGATCGGTATCGGTTTTTTCTTATGTAGATAAGCATGGATGGAAGCCATGATGTTCTTCCTCTGTCTGGATTGTTGTTTCTTAAAAAAAATGTCAATGTCGTTTTGTGTCATGATTCCTCATAGTTATGTGTTCTTGTTCTTCAATCGTCTGTTTTCTACTTTCACTTATGTCACAGGACATGGAACTGGGCAATTGCATGTTCTGTGAGGGCAAGAAGCCAGTGTCTGAACTTGATTTCATGTCTTTTTTTTTTCAGAAAACAGAATAGCTTGTCTTTTTTTTGGGGGAAGGATAATTTATAATTATAAGTTTGTTAATTATTGTACAAATAGAAAATATTTAAAAACCATATGGCCACAGATGTAGACAGAGACAAGACATGGAAGCTAACAAAATAAAGAACAAACGAACAGAGAGCCTTCAATGATAATAATAAACACAACTTCTTTTAGGGACTTGACACGGTGAGATGTCGTTTCATCATCCACCGAATCCTCTTTTGTCTTATATTTATGAAATTTATATAAAATAACATTCTAACATAAAATTGTCGTGCAAAAAGAAAATATATCAATGCAAACAAAAATGTGAGTAATAAAGAATTTTTTTTTTAATCAAATTGTCTTTATTTTTTTTATCTTTTTCTTTTTCGAAGTTACGAATCTAATCCCGTTTTATAGGATTGGCCATTTATAACCGTTATCCGCGGGTTCGTGGATACCCGGTTTCGTAGGTACCAAAAAACGGTACTCGCCTCTAAATGAAGACGACAAACGAAAACGGGTACGGGTTTCATTTTTACGAATACGGTACCACGGGTACCCATAAATATATAAAAATATCAAATATTCCTATATATTTTTTAATTATTTAGCAAATTATCTTTTTTTTTATCTTTTTCTTTTCCGAAGTGACGAATCTAATCCCGTTTTATATGATTTTTCGGGAATTTTAGTAAGGTAATAAGAAAAAATAATTAAAATTAGAAATATAAGATGTTATAAAAAAAAATATCTTTGCAGAATAAACCTTTACATAGAAGTGTTTTTGGGTAGGATTCAAACTTCAATTTAATGTTTGGGTTCACGATTATTTTGTTTTTTTTTATATATATATAAAAAGTTAATTCTCTACAATATCCATTTTTTTTCATTATAACAAAGAGTATCTTTCCATGTGAATAAGTTTCACCAAAAAAACAAAAAAATGTTACAATATGAGTTCCACTTGGTATCTGTTACATGTTTTAAAATATAAATGCCAATAAGGAAGGAATCACCAAAAATGCAGTAAAGGGAAACAGAGAGATTCATTCCATGAAATCGTAAAGGCACAAAAACAAAGAAGGGCATGTCTGAAAGCGAACTCAGAATCTATTTCCATGTACTCTTTCAAAGCCAAAGTTCGGTCTGTTCCCACATGCCATGCGGTTGTGTTAGTTCTAACCTTTCAACTGATCCATCTAACCTCACTCAAGCCTTATGGTTAGGAACAGTCGGGAAAGCAACCGACGTGGTAAGCTTCCATGTCCAGGTTCTGTTCCCGGGTTTTGGTCACGACCGTAGGTAATTCCCGATAAACCCGATGCACAGGAGGCAAGACTAGAGCCGACTTTTTGTCCATTGCAAGTAGTTTCCCGCATTTACTGCATCAACGATTAGAGTAAAGCTTTAGTAATCGAAAAAACGGGCTTTGGCACATTTTGAAAGAATCACGGGGACTGTATGCGTGTGTGTGTGTATATATACCTGCATGGTTTGCTAAAAAGGGTTTCGTAACTGCATATCCATTGCTGCATTAAGAGGAAGGAAACCCGGAAAAGAACGGTGAAATCATTTTTCATGCACCACCCATTAAAGAAATGGGTTCCGAGTCAGTCAGAGAACTTAGCCAGTAAATGGTTTACCAAGAGAGAATAGAGGGCAGTTTCATTATCGAGGCCGAGGAAATATTGCAAGGCTGTAGAAGCATGTTCCTGTAACAAAACCCGAGTTCTGTATGTTTAAGAAGAAGAATCATTCTGCTTGGCACTAGAATTAACGATAAAGCTAATTTGACATCCCCTGTTACCGTGATGCGTCTGAAAACATGGTGAACCGAGAAGCCCCTTGCATGTATGTAGCTACCTCCCTGTTAGGAAAAGGCACGAAACAACAAGTATGAGTACTTAAACCAAATTACAGAATTCAACGAAAAGATTACAATTGGAAATGACTAATAGAATTTGGAAGAGCAGTCCAATTTAAGAGTTCAAGCTTTCTAATACCAATGCAAAAGCTTATAGCCATTTGGAAGAGAGTAAATAATGAACTTCTGATTAAAATAAAGTCACAACTATAACTGACCTCATCTGGAGAGAAGAAAGCAACTGCATCTGGATCAACAGAACCCGCCGGATTCACAGACACTACGGCTCTGAACACAGAGGGGAAGTATAACTCAATTACGGCAACCTTATCATCGTCAACTTCAGTTTGCTGAAACCCTGATCTCAGCTTACTCGAACTCTGGAAAATAGGCTTTGATGCTTCTGTTGAATCCTCACTTGCCGAAACAGGAAGTGAATTAGCTCTCTCCAACCAGTTCAGCCGTCCATAAGTGGACACCTTCATGTCTGGCACCAGCTTTTCTAAACGCGATTGCATGTCTGACAGAGTTTTGCATTCACTAAGCTCATCTGGTCCATGCTCTGGAAGTAATTTGGAAGCACAAAGTTTCTTTGATGCCGGTTCTACCTTTAACCCGTCATCAAGATGAGGGAAGAATCGCCTTTTCTGGTCAGTGAAGGCCTTTAGCGCTAACCTGTGGTAATCAAGATCAAATCATTGTCTGATTAAGTCCCTTTTCAGACATTAAAAACACTTTAGTTTTAATTCACTCTTTCTTTTAAGATGAGAATATATATGAACAGCAATAGAAATTAAAAATCTATGCTCCCAAGCTTCAAGAAACAGGGACACTATTATATCATCAGGCAAAACCAATTGAACATATCAAATGAAAACCGGGGTTCTTAATCTAACCAGCTGCCTAATCAGTACCACAGGATTCAGAATAGTGGTACATTGCCTGTCTCTAATGCTTTCCATCTAAGTCCTCACCAACACAGGTCTTAAAGTTTCCTCTTCGACATACAAGGCAGTGACCAGTATAGCAAGTGTACTTCAACAAACAGATAAGAGATGCCTTTAGTTTAGTTGATGATCCCATCCAGATTCAATTCAACAAGTTAAATATGCTAATCAGTCCAACACTCCAAAATTAATTGCAGCAGAAGGAGAAGTTGGGACATATAATAGAAGCAGAAAACATTATCATTCCAGATGATATTATAACAAGCAAATGGATTATAGAAATCCACCATAAAAGCTGTTTCACAGGAGGAGAAACCTAAGGCCCAATAACAAATCTCATTCTTGGTCGACATGGAATCATAAGATAGCAACCATGGTTCTGTCACGGACATCCATCCATTGCAACCCGTTCTAAAGATCAAACCTTGCCTATCCATGTCCCTCTCTGTAACAAGGGTCTTCTACAAGGGATTTGACTATTACCCAAAGGACACAACCGAAACTAGGGACATATCATTTGCCACAAACCAATAGCAGAACTAAACCTACTTGTAAAAGAAGGAAAGCAAGAACTAGGTTAGTGGAAAGATAGCAAAACTAGAGAAAAGTCGGAGCAACAGAACCAGATAGACACCAACCTGGTTCTATCGACAGCCGAAGCACCTGCTTGACCAGCAAGCTGTCTTTTCCAAGCATACGCAACCACTGCACCGTCTGGACACACCAACGGCATGTGCAGACCCCATGAATTACTTCTCGAACGAAGAGATTCAGTAAGAACTCCAGATTCTTCAAGCTTCTTCCCTAACGAAAAAACCGGGTATATTCAGAATTGATCCCTAACAAAGAAAGTCTCAACATTTTTCAAGCAGATATAGAACCCACCAACCATCACATCACTACTACTAAACCAGTTCATACCACACTATAACCGGAACACCCACACGAAACCAACAGCTTCAGCAACCAAATTCGTTCATCGCCAATTCCACAAAACCCTAACGAAAACTATCCATCGTTTTCACAAATCATGAGCAATTGGGAGCTCCCGCAAGTCTGAGAACAAGTACCCACCGATTGATCGAAGATCCCGAAGGTGTTGACGAATGGAAGCATCTTCTTTAAAGAAGATCTGAAGAGGCTTGTCACTCTGGTGAGGCTGAGCAGCAATGAACATGGCCTCAAGGAGGCGATCGGCGCCGAGGCGTATATCGGCGATAACCCTAGCCGCTTGATTCAACCGTTCCATGGCCCGAGCCACCTGCTTCGGCGGAGCCTCCGCCGCTCCTCCGGCGGAATCCGGCTGATTGGTCGCCGTCTCCGGCGATTGCTGCGGCAGCAGCGGCGATGGCTGTAGCTGCTGCATTCATGCACAAGCTGGACTCGAAGCTTTGGGTATGGTGAAGTGATTTTTATCTCCGTCTTTAGAGAGAGAAAATAGAGACATAAACCAATAAAATTCCATATGAAAACCAAACCGGACGAACCGAACACTAAACCAATTAATTGAGTTTACTGAGATAAAACCGAACTTAATACCTCCCATAATTATGGGCCCCCCCGCCGCTCCTCCGGCGGAATCCGGCTGATTGGTCGCCGTCTCCGGCGATTGCTGCGGCAGCAGCGGCGATGGCTGTAGCTGCTGCATTCATGCACAAGCTGGACTCGAAGCTTTGGGTATGGTGAAGTGATTTTTATCTCCGTCTTTAGAGAGAGAAAATAGAGACATAAACCAATAAAATTCCATATGAAAACCAAACCGGACGAACCGAACACTAAACCAATTAATTGAGTTTACTGAGATAAAACCGAACTTAATACCTCCCATAATTATAATTATAATTTATAATTTATATGTCAAATCTTTTTTTCTGATTGATTACCATTCTTCAAGTTTTTTTTAGACTTCCGAGCTTTTTTTGGCGCCAAAATCACACACCAACAAAAGGGCAAAACAACTCTAAGATCGATCTCAAATCTCTCATCATGCAATCAAAAATTAATTCTTTCTTCAAACCCTCTTCTTCGTCTTCTCCATCGTTTTCGTCTGTTTCTGTTTCAGAAACCTCAGAGCCAGCTCCTTCTGATGCTGGTCGAGACCAAGGCGACGATTTGGCCGTTTGGGAGAGAAGTCGACACGTCATCGTCAACACATACGAGCGTCGATCCACAATATCCTATAGGTATATCCTGATCTTGTTGAAATTTCATTGATTGGACTCTTCATTTCGTTTTCGCCCATCTATTATGTGTTGTTCGATTTAGGGTTCGGGGGTTTGATTGATTCCCGAGAAAATCAGAAAGAGGGTAGTATTGAAAGAGACCTGAGGATCTCAGAGGGAAGAGAGAGAGAAACAAGTTTGCCCAAATTTTCTGTATATTCCTCCAAACTGAAAAGTCTATTCTTATACATTGCGAAATTCAAAATAAGCAAAACAGAAAAACAAACCGGAAATACTAAACCGATACAAACCAAATAAACCGGAAATAACCCAAAGACATAGTCTTCTATTACTCCCCCTCAAGATGGAGAATACAGGTTTTGTATTCCCATCTTGGAAGCTAAGTAACGAGACTGCTCCGATGATAAAGGTTTTGTCAAAAGATCCGCCACCTGATCAGAAGAAGGAGTGTGCACAGTGCGAAGAAACCCACTCTTAATCTTCTCCCTAACCAAATGACAGTCTAATTCTATATACTTTGTACGTTCATGATAAACCGGATTGTTGCCAATATGAATCGCGGATTGAGAATCACAGTACAAAGATACAGGTTCAGAAAAACAAACCGAGAGATCCCTGAGCAAAGACGAAATCCATAGCAATTCACACGTCGTCTGAGCAAGAGCCCTGTACTCCGACTCAGCGCTGCTCCGAGAGATAGTAACCTGCTTCTTAGATTTCCAGGAAATCAAGCTTGAACCCAAAAAGACACAAAAACCAGTAACAGATCTCCTAGTATCCGAACAGGAAGCCCAATCTGCATCACTATAACCACTTAAGATAAGCTCAGTTGATGCAGAATAAAACAATCCTTGAGCTGGAGCTTGTTTCAGATATCTAAGAACTCTATGAGCAGCAATAAGATGATCAGAACGAGGCTGAGACATAAACTGAGACAGTTTATTCACAGCAAAAGATATATCTGGCCTAGTAACAGCCAAATAAATCAGCTTGCCAACCAACTTCCTATAATGAGTAGGATCATCCAATAACTGACCAGACTCCTTACTAAGCTTAGCACGAGTATCCATAGGAGTAACAGCAGGTTTACATCCTAAGAAACCAAACTCTTCAAGGAGCTCCAAAGCATACTTCCTTTGACAAAGGAATATACCTGATTCAGATCGAGCCACTTCTAAACCAAGGAAAAATTTCAGCTTTCCCAAATCCTTAACCAGAAACTGATCTTGAAGAGTATCCTTAACACGTTGCACAAGAACCTGATCATTTCCTGTCACCAAAATATCATCTACATACACAAGAGCAGCAACAAAAGAAGTCCCCTGTTTCAAAGTAAACAGAGAATTGTCTGCATGTGACTGGGAACATCCAGCAGCAAGTAGAACAGAAGAAAGCTTCTGATTCCACTGCCTCGAAGCCTGTTTCAAACCATACAAGGACTTCTGAAGTTTACAAACAGAATTCTTTGGTATATTCTCCCCCTTGAGCTGAGAATATCCTGGTGGCAACTGCATATAAATCTCCTCATCCAAATCTCCATTCAAAAAAGCATTAGAGACATCCATTTGATCCAATATCCAATTGTTAGCTGCAGCTAATGCCAATAGAACTCTAACAGTAGTCAACTTTGCCACAGGACTAAATGTTTCAACATAGTCAATCCCCTCAACTTGAGTATACCCCTTTGCTACCAATCTAGCCTTATATCTTTCAATTGTACCATCAGCATTGTGTTTAATTTTAAACACCCACTTACAACCTATTGGTTGTTTCCCTGAGGGCAACTCACAAACAGACCAAGTCCTCGTCCTAGACAATGCTTCCAATTCCAAAATCATAGCATCTCTCCATTGAGTAGATTTCACGGCTTGAGTATAACATGTGGGTTCAGATTCAGTGGAAATAGAAAGAACAAATTCCTTAAAGGAAGGGTGTAATCTAGTATATGAGATGGCAGAAGATAAAGGATAAGGGGTAATGTTGGTTTCAGGTGGTGGCTCAGAATGATTTAAATGGTAACAGTGATAATTGGATAAGTAGCCAGGTGCTTTTGTCTTGCGATGTGGTCGACCATTATTATCTGATATATTGGGGAATGTATCTTCAGTATGAGATACTGGCTGTAATGTAGAAGAAATAGAAGATGATGCTGGTCTGAGATCAGAAATAGTGTTTGTATCAGGATAAGAATGTGATGGAAGATGAGAAACATCATCAATGAAATAAGGACTAAGATCTGGAGAAAAGAAGTCAATAGTGGAAGAAGATAGATCTGTAGTCTTAAAAGGAAAAATGTCCTCATGAAAAACAACATTGCGAGAAATGGAAACACATTCAGTTTCTAAATCCAAGACTTTATAACCTTTTGTACCATGTGGATATCCTAGAAAAACAGATGACTTGGCTCTTGGTGAAAATTTATGTCTATCTTTTGAAAGAGTGCCCACATAACAAAGACAACCAAAAATCCGAAGATGTGAATAATCAGGTTGTGTGTTTGTCAAAACTTCATAAGGTGTTCTGTTTTGTAAAACTGGTGTAGGAGTTCTGTTTATCAAATACACTGCTGTTAAAACACAATCTCCCCAAAATTTCAATGGCACATTTGATTGAAATAACAAAGAACGAGCTACATTTAAAATGTGTTGGTGCTTTCGTTCAACCACAGAGTTTTGCTCAGGTGTATAAGGACAAGAATAAAAATGTTCAATCCCTTTTTCAGTGAAAAATTGATGAAACTGTAACTCAGATGCATTATCTGACCTTACTGATTTGATTTTTGTCGAAAATTGTGTTTCAATCAGGTTGACAAAACGAACAAAACTATTTGAAACATCAGATTTGTGTTTGAGCAAATATATCCAAGTCACCCTTGTACAATCATCCACTATAGTCAAAAAGTATTTAAAACCTTCAGAAGTAGGAACATGAAATGGTCCCCAAACATCTATATGAATCAATTGAAATGGAGCAGAAGCAATTTTTCCAGAAATAGGAAATGAAAGTTTCTTTTGCTTTGCTAAAGGACATATAGTGCAATGTTCAGACTGTAAAGAAGAATCAGAAAACATAAGCTGAGAAGATTTTCCAAGTGATCTGATTTTATAAAATGATGGATGGCCTAAACGATGATGCCAAACATCCATGGAAGCTGTGGTAACTGCAGTACATAGAGATGAAGGAAGGGTATAGTTGAAAGAAGATGATGTCTGCAGTTCCAAGAAATACAGGTTTCCCTTTTGCTCACCTTTGCCAATCATCAATCCCCGAGTAGGGTCCTGAATTGTATAATGAGTGTGAGAAAAGGTTACTGTATAAGGAGTTGTTTTGGTCAAAGCACTAATGCTTAAAAGATTGTAACAAAAACTTGGTACATACAGAACAGAATAAAGAATGAGATATGAAGAAAGATGTACTGTACCAGCTTTTGTTACCAAAATGGTTGAGCTATCTGGTAAAGTGACTGTAATGGGGTTGATGGTTTGTATATCAGAAAATAATGATTGATCACAACACACATGACTACTTGCACCCGTGTCCAAAATCCAAATCACATGAGGTATGGGTAAAGAATTATCTAAGGCTGTGAAAATAGAATGAGATAGTAATTTGTTACCTGGTGATAAGGTTGATGAGGTTTGGGATGTGAAATCTGACTCATTGAAAGAGCTTCTAAGACCTTGTAATTGAGAAGTGAATTGTGCTAGAAGAGCCTCGGCCTTTGCATCAAAACCAGACTTCTGTGATTGTGCATCCATTGGCAGTTTATTGGAGCGAGCTGAGTCATCCAAACTAGCCTCTGAGTTAACCATGTTAACTCTTGTAAAGTTTCTATTACCTCCAAAGTTCTTCTGATTCTGCTGATATGGCCTACTTTGCCAATTGTTCTGTGAGGGATTGTTACCAGGATTCCTGTTTCCTTGAGGATATCCATGTAACTTGTAGCATTTCTCCACCACATGGTTACTCATTCCACAGTGAGAGCAAAATAACTTCGGACGAGGTCCATTCTGAGATGAACCACCAGCTTGATTCTGATTAGCAGGAAAACTTGAGCTGACCCGATTCTGTTGAAACTGATTCTGATTACTATATTGAGATCATCTCCATTCAAAAAAGCATTAGAGACATCCATTTGATCCAAGATCCAATTGTTAGCTGCAGCTAATGCCAACAGAACTCTAACAGTAGTCAACTTTGCCGCAGGACTAAAAGTTTCAACATAGTCAATTCCCTCAACTTGAGTATAACCCTTTGCAACCAATCTAGCCTTATATCTTTCCTGCTGAAGATTGAAACGCCACTGAATCTTGTGGCTGATCAGTTTGAAAACGCTGTTGTTCTTCATTCAACATCATATTATAAGCTCGTTCCAAATCAGGCAGAGACTCCATCATCAGAACTTGGCGTCTAGCCGGAGTAAAAGAATCGTGTAACCTCATCAGAAACCTAATCACATTTCTACGTTCCAGAAAACCAATCCACCTCTCATCAGCTTTGCAGGAACATTTTCCACAAGTACAGTTAGGAAACGGCTCATAATTTTTCAACTCCTCCCATAAGGCATTGAGTTTCGAGTAATAAGCATTTAGAGAGAGTGATCCTTGATGTAAACAATCTAGCTGATGCTGGACTGAATACACCTTGGATACTGTCGTCCGCTTAAACCTCTTTTCCAAATTTTTCCAGATATCAGGCGCTAAATCCAAATATAGAATCTGAGTACGAATTTCAGATGAGACAGAGTTGGTTAACCAAGTAGTTACCAGATCGTTGCATCGCATCCATGGAGAATCGTCATCATCATCCTCTGGTCGAGGAATTTTGCCAAGAACAAAACGAAGTTTGTTCTTCGCATTCAGTGCCTTCATAACAGCTCTAGACCACACATTGTAATTTGCTTCTCCCAGAAGCTGCTCCTTGACTAGAATGAAGCTCGAAGAATCCGCTGCGTGAAGGTATAAGGGATTTGCATATGGATCGAGGGAAGAATTCGTCGTAGATGACGAATTCGTCGCCGAATTAAGCTGAGTATCTAACAAATCTTCAGGAATTGACATCGCAAACCACAAACAATTTCAGAAATCAAATGAATCTGAAGATCGTTCGGGCTCTTGATACCATATTGAAAGAGACCTGAGGATCTCAGAGGGAAGAGAGAGAGAAACAAGTTTGCCCAAATTTTCTGTATATTCCTCCAAACTGAAAAGTCTATTCTTATACATTGCGAAATTCAAAATAAGCAAAACAGAAAAACAAACCGGAAATACTAAACCGATACAAACCAAATAAACCGGAAATAACCCAAAGACATAGTCTTCTATTAGGTAGGAAAATTCAACATGGGTTTGGATTCACTTCTTCACATGCGAAATGGGCAAGACTGAAGTTTTGTATTTTTTTTCTCCGTTTTGTCTTAAGATCCATCAGGACGAATTTTGATTAAATTTTGGATTTTATATCTTCTGGGCATATCTGATCCGTTAGAAGGTAGAACTTGGACACTTGTTTCTTCAGAACTGTAATTGAGACATCATTTTCTCTTATTGGGACAGCAGCAATGGAGAATCTGAGGAATGCATCAGAGATTTAGCTAAGAATCAAGTTTCCAAGAAAGGATCTGTAGCGTCTTCTAAGAACCTCAACAAGAAACGAAATTATGCTCAATTCCACTTAGAATTGGGCCAGTCTGATTTTCTTCTCAGACACTGCGCTGCCTGTGGAGTTAAGTATGCTCCTGGCGACGAATTGGACTAGAAAAGCCACAGAACTTTTCACAAGAACTATATGCAGGGAATCTCGTTCAAGGTCTCGTTGTCATTTCCTTGTGTTTGAATTATGCGTTTCTTGGATCAGTAAGGTCATCGATGAGCAGACATAGGTTCTTGAATTTCCATCAGGGCTGGCAGAATGAGAGAACTTTGACGACGCATTCTTTAAAAGAGGATCGTATCCTTATGATACTGGAACATGATTCTCCTGCTCACAAAAACAAGGTTGATTCTATTTTCTTATGGCGCAACTTTCTTTGGTTGTTTATATTTGATTCTTCCAGTCTTTGGGATCTCTCCTTGCAATTGAAGATGGCTTGTTACATGTACTCTTATTTAATTTAGAGGATTTGAAAAGGTGCAATTTGTGTTTACAGGTGAAGGAGGTTGTGAAAATGATGGAAGTCGAGCTGGGTGAGGATTGGATTCTTCACCAAAGTTGCAAGGTATGAGCTCTGCATTCACATCTTAGGAGATGTTTGAGGATAAATTCCAAATCTCTTGCATGTTTCTACTTGGTGTTTACTCTTTTTGTTCAACTTTTTATGAAACATGGAGCAACTCTTGCTTTCCATTCGATGAAAATAGGAGGACGACAAATTTGTATACCTGAATGCTAATACGTATCCGGTCTAGTTGGAACTGGCATGAGAACTTTTGGGATTGGGAAAGAAAACCTTGAACCAAGGAGTGCAATGATAGAAGAGTGTCTCCAGTTTTTCAATACAAGAGGAGTTTCTCTCGTCCGCTTATTCACTTGGAAGATCATGGCTTATGTCATTTGCAGGTTTACCTCTTCATTTCCTCCCAGAGAATTGCCGGCTGTCTGGTTGCAGAACAGATCACAGAAGCATTTAAACTCATTCCTCGCCCCGAAGATGGCAAACAGAGAACTTCTCCTGCCCTAATGAGAGAGACCTCGCCTTCAACCACGATCCCATTTGGAAACATTGTTCTGAAAAGAGAAGCATCCAAAAGATCCCGACCATCAGAAGGTAGATTATGCAGTGGAGCAATTGTATGTGAAGAAGAAGCTAAACCTGCTGTCTGTGGCATCAGAGCTATCTGGGTCTCACCCTCAAACAGAAGAAAGAGCATAGCAACACAGTTACTCGATGCCTTGAGGTCGAGCCCTAAGACCCTTTCTCACCATAACGATTAACGATCCATACACCCTTTTTTTGTTGGCATATACAGTTTTTTTTTTTTTTTGTTTCGTCGAAAAACAGGGGAAGTTTCTGTAGTGGCCGTGTCCTGGAGAAGTCTCAGTTGGCATTCTCACAACCAAGCTCTTTGGGGAAGGCTTTTGCATTCAATTACTTTGGAACTCCTGCATTCTTGGTCTACAAAGCAGGTGATTCCTCTGATTATTAAATCATCAGATTTTTCTTGAAATGGATGGTTCTCCTGCCACAAATATTATTCGAGAACCTCCGAAACTCTCGAAGAGATTTGAAGATCATCTACAATAGGATCAGTAGGATCTGTGTTGATTTCTGGGTTTTAGTCGACTGTGACCCCATTGTTCATTTGCCTGAATCAATGGCTGTGTGTTTTAGCAAAATCTCCATTTCTCCAAGTTCTTGCAATGAAAATGCCTCGGTATTCAGGACACAGTTCATAAGTATGAACTGGTTACTGCCTTTGTACTGCTTTTTGCCCTTTTTTCCCCTCCTTCAAGCATAAGATTTAGACCAAAATTCTGTACCAAAAAAGAAGCAAATCTTCACAAAACGCCGCAATGGCTATTATCGACCTCTCTGCCCTCTCTCTCTCTCTCTCTCTCTCTCTCT